TAAACATATTTCTACATTATATACATAAGCAAATACTAACATATGATAGACAGGCTACTTGTCATATAAAAATTTAATTATACATTTACTTACATGTTGGCTATAAAAGTTAATGTGTCACATGTGACAGGCTTACATGTGGTAAATTACTTTAATACGTGATCATTGTAATATTCACATATTCCTTACCTTAATGTGTCACTTCAGCTGCCAGCATGACCTCAGCTGCAATCTCAATATTTGGCCAGTTTTGACGAAATGACCGATCGTGTTCAGTGTATAAGCTGGGCTTCGTCTCTAATATAACTTGGCGCAAGTTGACGACGCGCATAGAGAGCCGGGAACCAGCTTATGTCGTGTTAACCTGGTTCCCGGCTCCCTATGCGCGTCGTCAACTTGCGCCAAACAATAATGTGATATTAGAGACGGGGCCCAGCTTAGTGTTAACCCGGAACAAGCCATTTTACCCATATTCCCCTACGGTCCAGGGCGCCATTTTAGAACATGGATGTAAACAAACCTCGTGTATCGATATACACTGTGATTCTTGATTACGATAAGCTTACCTCGTGTATCGATACATTGTTCTCATTCACCTCCACCACGGAAATGCCGGCCGAAGTTCCTCTCAGCCATCCACAACGCGGAAGTCAACAGTATTTGGAAAGGCGATTGGCATTGCCAGGTACGTAGCAGGGCTTCGAGGCCTTATGATTTCTGTGCAGAGATCTTATGGAACGGATTGATGTAGATATTTTCCTGCTCTACATACTTTACCGTAAACGCCAAGGGTCCTTTTTTTAGTATTATGGTCAACTGTTTGTTAGCATAAGAGGCGTAATGGATTTGTGGTCAAAACAAGATGATCCAAATTAGATCAGCTTTTTTATAGATAATGAAGAAAAGTACCAAGATCTAGGAACGATTATTAACTCTTAACTTTCGTGGGATGCCAATACAGATTATAATTTACAATAATGGCCACCAAAGACTTTATTTTTTTTACGCTTAGGATATTGTTATAATTACACTGTTATGTCCTTGTTTTGTATAAGCTTCATAACTTAATCATTCAATATTTCATGGAATGACTCTGACCTTGGCGAGGATCTTTTTTGCAACAAGTGATTCCTTATGTAAAGTGTATGTTGAATGACCCTGGCTTTGTTGTCAAATAATTGTTTGACAGTTGTTAAATATGGGGTTATGTTTTATCTCTGAATGTTTGGGATGAAATATTTTAATAAGGACAGTTCTAAGTTGGAAACTCAACTGGGGCCTTTTCAATTGAATTCAATGTACAGCATGTACAGTTTGGACATTTCTCTAATGTGAATGCTACTTATGTTTGCAGAATGTCTGGATGAATGAATGAGTCAGTCATCTGCACAGCATCAATGGAAAAAGGGAAGCAATGAGGAACAAGAGAAGAGTAGCAGTGAGTGGTAAATATTTGAAATTATTCTGTTTGGTTCATCATGTTCATGTAGCTATTCTGCAAATATTTCTTCAGTTTGCTTGTTCTTTATCACCTGTTGGCATGGATGGCCTAATTATCAAAGGCACTACAACTTGCTGTGCATAGTTGCATCTCTTGGGCTTGACAGAAACCGATGGTCGTGGGTTTGAATCAAGGGTAGCATCATACACTTGCTTGTGGGTTTCATCAAAGTGGTAAACATGTAAGACCTGCATCACTTCGGGCTTTCTTCCCACATCAAGCTTACATGCCGTGATATAACTGGAATACTGTTCAAAGAGGCGTTAAACCCAATTCACTCATTTAACACCACATCCAGCAAGGCTAAATGACAAGGATTATAAATTAATCAAATCTCAACTAGACAAACCAGAGATTAATGTTATGAGCTCGATCCAGACGCACCGATGATGACTGTTATGGACAACATCCCATGTTATTGGGTACGATTACGAGCTTTCAATGAGCCCACTTGCTACCTCATCTATTACTTTGGCTTGTATGGCAAGCATAGGTTGCTAGGAACATTTTTAAGAGATGTCAGTTAATGATTGTTTCAACTCATCAGCATGGAACAATATATATCTCAAATGTTTGGTATATAACAAAACTCAAAGATGATAAATTAAGTGAATTTGCTGCCTTTTATCTGTAAGTACATGTTGCAACAATTCTTTTCTTTTGCTACAATCTTTATACATAATTTTGCAGAAACTGAAGTCCAGCTTGAGATACCCGGATGACAGGTTGACAGTCTGGAAGGACCCTTCCAGATATCCGAAGTGATTGGCACCACAGCGATGAGGAGAGTCCTGTTATTTCAATGGGAGCCTACCGAGAAGTTATATGCCAATTGACACTGGGACACACTCACAAAGGGTGGTCAGGCAAATGTGAGAAGACCAACCAATGCCAAGTCGGAGTGGGATCCTTCAAGGACGTTGAAGAAATTATTGTCTTTGGCCATGTGGTAATCACTTGAAAGGAATGATGTTTGCGACTACTTGTCTATAAATGTGGACCCAAACACCAAATAGAATGTTCACAATTCTACTAACACAATGCAACAGGGATAGAGCCCATCTGGCCTCCCCTCATCCTGGTTCCTGTTTTTCCATGGCAATATAGAAGGAAAAGGATGTTTGAGGGCAAGTAACTCTGAACTGGTGAGCATGGTCTGCTGATGCTTTCAAGCGAACAGTTATCCCGCTCTGTTATGAGTATTGAAGAATAGGAGGAAAGTGCATACTGCATCAGGAACCATTATATGAACACTGTTCAATGTGTGATATATGCATATAAATAAAAGAAATTGATAATTTGTTTGTTGTTTGTTTCTTTAGCCAGCTGTGTAAATGGGGATTTTCCAATATTTTGCCTCAGTTTGATAGCCACAGTTATCGTATAAAACCATGCATTGCTTGGACATCTTTGGAATAACACATTGATCTGCTATGTCAAAGGTCAATGTCACAGCCAGACAAAAAAATTGTTAATGGCCAAACTCTTCCTTAGGGCAGGGATAGAAGTTGGCAAAAGGTCATACACTTACTTTTTATCCCCCGGCATATAATACGGGGGATATAGTGATCAGCCTGTCTGTCCGTCTGTCCGTCCGTAATCATTTCCTTTTCCGGGGCAGGATTCCCAAACCATTCAGTGTATTTGATCGAAACTTGGCAACTCTTATCAGGCACATACTGAAGTGGTGCCTTTTGATATTTTGGGATTTTTCTAATTTTTATTTTTTAATTTTTTTATGGAATGAAGTTGGACATAGACTCAATTGGGGATGGGGTTCGTTTCCGGGGCAGAATTCGAAAACCATTCAGTGTATTTGATCGAAACTTGGCAAAGCTATCATGCACATACTGAAGTGGTGCCTTTCAAATTTTGGGATTTTTCTAATTTTTATTTTTTATTTTTTTTTAATGGAATCAAGTTGGACATAGACTCAATTGGGGATGAGGTTCATTTCTGGGGCAGAATTAGAAAACCATTCAATGTATTTGATTGAAACTTGGCATTCATATGGATGTGACCATGGTGGATCTTTTGTGGGTAAACAATGTATGCTTCTTAAAGAACATTCAACTGTTGACTCATTACATACAGAAATGCACTAGTGGTTACTTTACAGACAGCTGCCGGGGGGATATGTCATCTTTCTGATGACTCTTGTTCTCTAATGTGCCTTTTCCCGCAGAAGTCTAAATAACTCTTATACACATAGTTGTATATCATTGTCATATGTTTGTCAATATTACACTGAATGAAGCACTTTACAATTGTTTTTGAAATAGTCGCAACTGATATTGAAGGTCAATTTAGCTTTCAATGTCTTTCAGTAAAAAAGTTCACAGTAACTGAGGAACAGCTCTCTGCAATGTGATGAAATCTGGTACATGTCACCCTCAGAGTGAGGCATATTGTGTTTCAAACTTAAATGAAGCTGGTATGCTCATAACAAGTATTTGTACCTTTACAAATATTCATATTATCATCTCACTAGGACCAAAGGCCCAAGTGAGCACACAGTCGAAGAGTTTATACTTTCACTCAGAATAATCTGGAAGTCTGAACATGAAATTTAAGGATATCATCATACATGTATTAGAACTGATGTTTGTTCATTAAACAGCTTAACATCTAAAAAGAATTATAGATGAAATTGAAAAAAATTGTCTTCTCCAAAAGTACATGCCCATAGATCTCAACTTTAAGGGGATATTTACAACTAAAATGACACAGAATATTACTACAGCTATCTGATATGCCCAGGCTAACATTATTTACCAGAAATAAGACATCTCGAAAAATTGCATCCGGATACCTGCCGGATACCTGCCGGATACCTTCAGCAATGTTCAATTTTCATGGTTAGTTTCCAATATATATTTAGGTGTTTCACACTTAATTGAACAAAATGCACCCCCAAATTGTGACATGTTTTTGGAAACTCAGAATGAGGTATCCGGTGCCGGATTCTTGGTATCCGGTGCGGATCCTTGGACACCCAGATTGAGGTATCCGGTGAGGTATCCGGTGCCGGATACCCGGATTCCAGGTGGCATACTTTCAGGTGAGGTGTCCATGCCGGATACCACGGATCTGGTATCCGGCAAGGTATCTGCCACCGGATACCCGGACGCGTTTTGGGTAAGTGTCCGGTGGTATCCGGCAGGTATCCGGATACCGGAAACTGCATTTTTTTTGCTGTGTATGTTCTCTGGCCAAACAACACGAAAGAGTCTCAAATTTTATAGAATACTTAGCATATGTACTGCAATGAACTCGTTCAACAAATAAAAACGTGAAAACTATCCTGGGTCTTTATGGGCAACTCGGACATCTACTCACGTGTTTATAGATAGATTTCACATAGGTAGATGACCTAATAATGTATGGGTGGCATACGTACAAAACCAAATACCTGACACGTGAAGCGCAATGTTAACTGAGCGCCTATTACATAGTGTATAAGTTAAACATAATTGCTAGTACATGGCTGAATTCTTACCTGAGGTTACTGACGGCAGTGTGAGGACAACGAGAGTCAACAAGACGTCCATGATAATCTAATTTTAGATGTACTTCTCTGTAGTGAAATACGTCTGGTGACATTCGTATCCAACCAGGAAGTTGATGGCTGTGGTATCCTCGATAGCAGCCTTTGAGTTATGCCCCAGTGGCTTTGTAACAAATGCTATTGGTCTTTGTATGGCCACCAATCTCGCTTTTGTGTATAATCTGATATCCAAGAAACATTTTCAGCAAAGTCTTGTTATTCCCGACTGTACCTTTCCTAATATAACGCCCGGGTAGACATTTTCAGGGTTATGTAATATTGACTACAGTATAATGTTTTAGAGGGTTGGATTTCCGTACCAGTCGGGTCCAGATTAACGAAGAAGAGTGTATATGTATATTGGCATGCATGAAGGGATATGTTCTATATCGGACCTCTCTATTTCAAGAATTGTCGATTTCATAATGCTTAGTAAACGAATCTAGATATCTAGTCAAAGAATATGTAATCGAAATAACTCGCTTTTTGTTGCTGCACAGAAATAGGTACACGAACATACCTCAAAACACCAACAATCCTTCATGTGAAACAGCACAGATTTGTTTGTCTTATGCTTACTCAGTACTCTGTACACCGTTTCCACTACTTCCTAATCCTCATCTTAAGGGGTACGGATGGCCCATTCGTCTAAGGCGCCCCGATTCCCTGTGCAGAGTTGCGGCTCTTGGGCACACCAGAAACCTATGATTGTGGGTTCGAATCCCGGTTCGCCTAGATTATGTTTCTACCTTTCCGCACCACAACCGTCCTCGTGGATTTCACCGAAGTGGTAAACGTCTGAGACCTGCATCACTTCGAGCTTTCCTGACACATTAAGTTGACACGGCGTGAGATAACTGGAATACTGTTAAAAGCGGCGTTAAACCCAACACACTCACTCACTCACTCACTCACTCACTCATCTGTTGACCATCCTTACCGTTTTCATCATTTAAAAAGATCAGCTATAGGTGAGTTTGTGTCACGCCTTATCTACCAGGTGAGTCTGACATGAAACCTGAAAGTACACGAGATTTATTCCAGTTAAATCTCACATACACATGCGTCAGTCACTGAGTTTCTTATAGATCATTAACAGCACTCTGAGGACACAGCCGGTGATGACATATACGTCAAGCATGAAACGACGTCAAGCATGTGTCATTGTTACTTCTTGTATAGCTGTGCTGCCTTATGTGTATAAACAGAACTAGACGTTAACGTCCTAATGTTAGTATTTCTTTAGATAAGTAGTCCTCCTCGTGTTTGGGACGTTGTTGATCCCTTATATAAAACAATAATGTTGTGATTATCAATGTAATAGGCATAAACTAGTGTGTTGAAATAGAATTTGGAAAGAAGAATTATAGGGTAATCGTGGGGTAAACTCTGCTTTGAACTGTATGAGAGGAACGCCCAATGTGATGCAATATTGCAGCTTTGGTGAAACTCACGAGTGTGGGCTGACAAACCATTCCGCCGCCTTGGACGACTTGGTCATCCGACCTTCGATTTCCCTTTCTATTCAGAAGGCCTATATACAACCATGACTCTATAACACTAACCGGTATTACCACACTGCAAGGCCTCATCCTATATAGACAGTCTATATACTTGATGCAAAGCAGCATCACGGCGCTAAAGTCAATGTTGTGTGTTGAGAAAAGACATTGAATGTTTGAACAAGACGAACGAAAAACTGTTCGCCTATAATCAAATTAGTAAACGATTGACTTGTTCGGTATGACCATGACGACATTAGTTCTCCCTTCCACAAGAATGGTAACGGATATCAACAGACGGTGACAAGAATGAAGACACATGAACAACGTGTAATAATATTAAATATGAATTATTCCTGTCTATGTCATCAGGATCCACTGTGTTCGGGGCGATGGGATAGCCTAGTGGTTAAAGCATACAGTCGTCACGCCAAAGGTCCATGTTCGATTCCTACATGGATACAATGTGTGAAGCCTTGGTGTCGCCCGCCAAGATGTTGTTGGAATATTGCTACAGTTGGCATAAGACCCAGATCTCTCACTCGCTCCGTTAACTCTCTTGGATTTCAACTTCAGGCGTAGGCATGTATTTGATTTGCAGTGCACGTAATGTCCTTATTAGTCATGGCGTGTGGTACAAAGTCCTGGATCTACATGCACATGTACGGAAGTCCATATCCACACATTGTGAAACACAGGCTCCAGATTTGAACGTACGCGGTTGTTCATATACACACAACATACACTGAGACTGAATATGTTAGATGCATCCAATCAATGTTTAAATAATTGTGGTAACAGGGGTACAAGATTAACCCTTCTCTCGTTAAACAAGATGCAAAACAAATTGCAGTATATCTATGTCACATTGATGTATGGATTGGCTGTGCCCTTTGAGGGGTTTTGATCTATTATGTCATAGGTGTTACTCGGCTCCTGTGTTCTGGGTTTGAGCCCTGAGTAGGTGGGGTGGACTTCAGAGACTGGAATGTCATCAGACTTCTCATGGCGGGACCTCCACCATCTTCTGTAAAACAAACCATAATTAATCATGTATAATTAATGCAACATTGTCCACTTCTATCAACGGCCACATATAATCTCCCTGTTTGTCTACATGTACCGATCAGCCTTGACCATTGGTGTTGACAAAACATACATTTAGAGTCATTTGGCTTCAATGTCTGTACCTTGATGTGACGACGTATAGTGCACCAGCAATGACGACCAGCACGGCACCTGTAGCAACTCCAGCAGCAAAGATACCACCTGCAATAAAACCCATAATGTTGTCTCAATCACAGACATTATAACACCTTACTATGTGGACACTCCGGATGAATCTGTATCATGTCTTAATTACTTCCAAGATCCAAGGACTGCTCCGAAGTGTTATATGTACAGCATGATGTTTTTCGATTATGAACCTTGGTTTGTCAGTAAGATATTGATGCTTCTGTGCTTCACATTATACCTGTAATCTACCACAGGCGCGATCGGGTAGCCTAGTGGTTAAAACATTCGCTCGTCACGCCAAAGACCCGGGTTCGATTCCCGACATGGGTACAATGTGTGAAGCCAATTTCTGGTGTCCCCCGCCGTGATATTGCTAGAATATTACTATACGCGGCGTAAAACCATACTCACTCACTCACTGTAATCTACCACGAGCATCACTTTGGGTTTTCTTCTCGGATTATAATTACACACTGCAGTGTAACTGAAATATTGTCATTTCCTGGTTCAGACATCACGGAAATATTCCCTTAATACAATGAAGTTTCAAGGAACATTGAATGCATATTTTTCACCAGTGCATGAACATATTTTATCATTGAGTTGATAAAACCATTGCTGAATAATCTATTTACCGATTGCAGAAACATAAGGGCATATCATGTGGGCATTACATGCATGAGTGCGTGCCACGCTTTGAACCATATGCGTAGAAACATTTAGGAAGTTGTACCTGGAAAGTCATTGTTACGCGATTGACATCCTTTCATGGAGATCTGAGTTGTAGTGAATGTCGCTTTAGTAGTCCCTGGCCCTGCAGTTAATCCAGTAGACACAGATGTGGTCTGTCCTTGAGGAGTGATGGCGGTTGGTCGCAGTGTCTCTGTGGTATGCGGGGGTGTAGATGTAAGTCTCTCTGTAGTTGTCGTTACTGCTGTTGTTTTGGGAGAAGTTGTAATGGTAAATGTCAACGTTTTTGTTGAAAGCGAGCCTGTTGAAGTGGAACTGTTAGTGTTTGGCTCGAAACACTCTATGTTCAGCTGGCCTGTTGAAATGAAAACGAAGCATCAATACTATTTGTCTTTAATTGTTTTGAGAATCCCCTTGGGGTTATGATGTGAAAATTAAAATTTAACTGCGAACACCATGAACATAATACATAAGGTTTTTGTTCACTTCTAAAGTTGCCTTAAGTTTTAACTGCAGCTGTCCTGAAAGTCCTCTGTATCCAGACCAAGTAGCCACCACCAGTATCCATATCTACTCAGCAGTGTTGACGGTGAGAGACTGAGCTGGTGCAGTTTGAACAACTCCATGTGTAGTACATTGTCTACCCGTTTTTCTTTTTAAATGGAATATATACATCTATATCCAAATGTATATTATTAATACATTTTTATGTCAAAACAATATAATCAATTCGATCATTTTTGAGCCCTCATATTTCTTACCTGATGACGATTTAAGCCTGAACTGCAGCTGTCCTAACAGTCCTCTGGCTCCAGGTCTTGTAGCCACCACCAGTATCCATATCTCCTCACTGGTGTTGACAGTGTGAGTCTGTCCAGGTATAGTTTGAGCAGCACCATTTGTACACTGTGAACTAGTCCTCCACTTCTTTATGGTTATGGATATATCACATTGTTCTGTCAAGCTAGTAGGGAACATCTCCACCTGTGTTGTCTGTGACACGATCAGTCTACAGTAACACATCTCTCCCCCTGTGTTGATCTGTGTTGTAGACACATCCAGTAGGATTTGGTTGGAGCCTGTCTCTGTCCCAGAGGAGCATGTCTGTAGACCTTGACAGTAAATACAAATTATGTTTTAACGGTCACACCCTACAGTTACACGGAAATACAGTACATCATGTACACATACGCCGATATCCATACCGAAAAAACACATTATGTTAATACTTTTCGTCAGATTCTAAATATCATGTTTATATCATAAGACAATTCAGTTGGTAGAAGACAATAACCAGTGTCATAAATGATTTGATGTATGACAAAGATCAGTGCGTAGTGTTACAGTCGTGTTTATAACTACTGGGTTTCTTTGTATATATCAGTCTCACTCAAGTTTACTCCCATACATCTCCGCAGACGGTACCAATAAACACAATTAGGATGCGTGAGACGTTCATGTGTAAGTTTTGTAAGAGGTATCTGCTTTATTTATGTTCCACTTCGTTTCTGTACAACCATAGAAAACAAAAATTCCCTCGATAGTGCCCCGGTTTGGGTATAGATGTCATGGCGCTCAGAAACGGGTGGATGTTCAACATATCCACAACAGCAATAGTGCGGTTATACATTTTGGCTACGGAACTCCTCAGTTATATTCGTTTTCGAGTAACAGAAATCAAATTTGCTTGTCTGAATGCTTTTGTCACTGGTGCCGAGAATATGGCAGCCTCGACGCTGATTGGTTGATTAGAAAGTTCACCTGACTCGACCACCTGTCTCAGATCTCCACGCAGAGAGGAATCGTGTAGGAGTAAAGATAATGTTATTTCTGTTTTCTAAGTGAGTGACAGAGATTTTACCTACTGAGTTTCCTTATGTATATCAATCTCACTTAAATCAGATTTTCTACTCCGATACCCAACAGAAGGTGGCGTCAGGTGAACCCTGAGCGAGTTGTGACCGCCCAATCAAACTGATAAAGTATGCGAGGGCAAGTTAGATGTCAGCTTTCTCTTACACATATGGGTTATTTTTCTATCACCAACATTCGGAAATTTCGATCTCAGCAAAAGAAATCCACCACAGAAAACAAAATGACCCACGATTAATGCACCCTTTTGGGTGTAGATGCCATAATGTTTAAAATGTCCACAACTATGTATTAGCGCGGCTTTACTCTTTTTAGCAATCGGATCTCCTCGATTATGTTCCTTTTCAAGTAACACCTGATCACCTGATTCGACCTCCTATCACGAGAATTACGGAGTAAAAGATTTGATTTTAAGGAGATTATTATAATGATACTTCTGTGTTCTAAGTGGGTGAGGTACAATTAATGTCGTATCAGCAATATCTCAGCAAACACATTCTCTTTGGTTATAGTAGAAGTGATGAGTGACTCCCTTTGACACAGTCGACTGTATTTTGTATGTAAGAATTCAGGAATCAGTAACAATCACAGATCGGCTATATTTCCCAGAATGTTCGCTTACACAACGCACACATTTTACCACCATATTTAAATCACCTAACAGGGATAATTATGAAAAATATATTGCAGGAATTAAAACACACTCGTTTCGCGCTTGGGAAAATGAAGCGACACTGGCATGGCTTAGAAGTACACTATGGTGTTACAACTTCCACATTTAGACGTATTGGAAATGGGACGTAGAAAACAGGACGGGGTGGAATTAAGTCAAATGAACTCATCATATATGTGCAAGTTTACAATTTTACATATTACTCATTGAGTCTATGAAACATCGTCGGGTGGTATACATACTGTTAATAAGGATACGATCTATTGGAAAGAGATAGGCTATCAGCGTCGGTCGCGGAGCGTCCTTGAATGGGTGACCGCGTTTCGGCAGCTTGGCTCCTGACAGTTTCTAGGACTTCCGTTCTGCCTTAGCCTGAAGCACATATAACACATGTGGCGTCTCCTTGGGCAAGTGACCTTTTTCGAAATGTGCCTCTTTCCACCCAGCAGTGAATGGGTACCCGAAAGGATGAGATGAACATGTGGTTGTTAACCTTCTAGCAGGCATCTTGGGTTGTATACTCCCCAGGGAGCTGGGAATGATTCTTAAGTGCACATTGATCCAGTGACCGGGGTAATAATAGCGCTTTGAGCAGTGGTGTGGAAATATGCGCAATATAAATAGCCTATTATTTTGACTATTTTGGTCTCGGCGGCTGGGTAAGCAATCGAATCGTAATTTAACTTCATGTATATTGGAGATCTTATTATGTTCTCTGACCAACAACACAGAAGAGTCTCAAATTTGATAGAACACTTAGCATATGTACTGCAATGAACTCGTTCAACAAATAAAACCGTGAAATCTATCCTGGGTCTGTATGGGCAACTCGGACATCTACTCACGTGTTAAAAGATAAATTTCACATAGTTAGATGACCTAATAATGTATGGGTGACATACGTACAAAGCCAATACCTGACACATGAAGAGCAATGTTGACTGAGCGCCTATTACATAGTGTATAAGTTAAACATAATTACCAGCATATGGCTGAGTTCTTACATGAGCTTACTGACGGCAGTGTGAGGACAACGAGAGTCAACAAGACGTCCATGATGATCACATTTTAGATGTTCTTCTCTGTAGTGAAATACGTAAGGTGACATTCACACTCAACCAGGAAGTTGATGGTTGTGGGATCATGGATAGCAACCTTTGAGTTATGTCCCAGTGGCCTTGTTACAAATACTATTGGTCTTTGTATGATAACCAGTCTCGCTTTTGTGTATAATCTGATATCCCACAAACATTTTCAGTGAAACCTTGTTATTCCAAACTGTACCTTTCCTAACAATCGCCCGAGTAGACATTTTCAGGGTTATGTAATATTGACTACAGTATAATGTTTTAGAGGATTGGATTTCCGGACTAGTCGGGTCCAGATTAACGAAGAAACAAAACAAAATTCTTGTCTCTATTTCAAGAATTGTCAATTTAATCATTCTGAATTCCGACTTCGTAAAGAATCGTAAACACATCAAGATATTTAGTCAAAGAATATCTACTAGAAACAACTCGTTTTTTATTGTTGCACAGAAATAGGTACACGAACATGCCTCAAAACACAAACAATCCTTCATGTGAAACAGCACAGACTTGTTTGTTTTATAATTACCCAGTACTATGTACACCGTTTCCACTACTTCCTCACCCTCATCTGTTGCCCTCCTTGCCGTTTGCATCACTTAAACAGGCCAGCTTTTAGTTTATGTCACGCTTAATCTCCATAGCGAGTATCACATAAAACCTCCATTTACACCAGGTTTATTCTTGTTTAGTCTCCCATAAACATGCGTCAGTCAAGGAGTTTATTATAGATCGTTAAAAGCACTCCAAGGACACGGCCGGTGGTGACATACTAGTATACGCCCATGTTACAGCCTTGGGAATACAAAGTACAGAAATGTACGGTAATGTTTACTACCAGCAGGAAGTAAGTGTATAATAGATACGATGTCAAACATGTGTCATTGTTACTACTTGTATAGCTATGTTGCCGTATGTGTATAAACAGAACTAGACGTTAACGTCCGTATGCCAGTATTTCGTTAGATAAATATTCCTCTTCGTGTGTATTCAATCACATTTTGGGACGTTGTTGATCCCTTATATAAAACAATCATGTTGTGATTATATCAATGTAATACTAGTAGTTATAAAGTTGTGTTGTACCCTGTTGAAATAAGAAAGTAGTGTTATAGGGTTATCGCAGAGTTAACTCTGCTTTGAACTGTATGAGAGAAACGCCCAATGTGATGCAAGTGTTACAGCTTTGGTGAAACTAACGAGTGTGGGCTGGTAAACCATTGCGCCTTCGTGGACAACTTGGTCATCCGTCCCGTCCAAACATGACTCTATAACACTAACTGGTATTACCACACTGCATGGCCTCATGTGGTAAGAAAAGACATAATGATTGAATGTTTGAACAAGACGAACGAAAAACTGTTCGCCTATAATCAAATTAGTAAACGATTGACTTGTTCGGTATGACAATGACGACATTAGTTCCACGGACGTTGACAAGTATTAAGACACAGAACAACGTGAAATAATATTATGAATTGTTCCTGTGCAAGTGATCAGAATCTCCCTTTCTACTCAGAAACATCTCTACAAACATCGCTCTTTAACACTAACGGGTATTATCATACTGCATGGCCTCATCCTATATAGACAGTCTATATTCTCGATGCCATGAAGCAACACGGCGCTAAGGTCAATGTTGTGTGGTGAGAAAAGACAATGAATCATTATGTTTGAACAAGACGAACGAAAAACTGTTAGCCAATAATCAAATTAATAAAAGATGGACTTCTTTTGCATGCCAATGACGACCTTAGTTTTCCCTTCCACAAGAATGATAACGAATACCCACAGACGTTGACAAGTATCTGGACACATGAACAACGTGTAATGATATTATGAATTATTCCTGTGCATGTGACCAGGATCCACTGTGTTCGGGGCGATGGAATAGCCTAGATGTTAAAGCATACGGTCGTCACGCCAAAGGTCCATATTTGATTCCCACATGGATACAGTGTGTGAAGCCTTGGTGTCCCCTGCCAAGATGTTACAGTTGCTACAGTTGGCGTAAAAACCAGAGCTCTCACTCGCTGCGTTAACTCTCTTTTGGATTTCAACTTTAGGCGTAGGCATGTATTTGATTTGCAGTGCACGTAATGTCCTTATTAGTCATGGCGTGTGGTACAAAGTCCTGGATCTACATGCACATGTACGGATGTCCATATCCACGCATTGTGAAACACAGGCTCCAGATTTGAACGTACGCGGTTGTTCATATACACACAACATACACTGAGACTGAATATGTTAGATGCATCCAATCAATGTTAAAATAATTGTGGTAACCAGGGCTACTAAATTAACCCTTCTCTCGTTAAACAAGATGCAAAACAAATTGCAGTATATCTATGTCACATTGATGTATGGATTTGCTGTGCCCTTTGAGGGATTTGGATCTATTATGTCATAGGTGTTACTCGGCTCCTGTGTTCTGGGTTTGAGCCCTGAGTAGGTGGGGTGGACTTCAGAGACTGGAATGTCATCAGACTTCTCGTGGCGGGACCTACACCATCTTCTGCAAAACAAACCATTATTAATCATGTTTAATTAAAGTAACATTATCCACTTCGAACAACTGTTACATAGAATCTCCATGTTTGTCTACATGTACCGATCAGCCTTGA